ATTTGCATATTAATTTCATCAAATGTGATTTCTTGTTCATCATTAGTTATTTTTTCATTATATAAACATAACTTTGTCAAGTTGTACTTTGTTTTCAAAATTTGACCCTTTAGATTTTTCAAAGTGCAGTTATTTGTGCTAGAAATAGAAGTTACAATGTATGGTCCAGTCCAAGGCTTTACAAGTTTACCACCTTTTCTATCATCACGTCTGCTATTTCTTAGTAACACTTTTTTATTTATGCTAATTTCATTATTTGGTGCAATTCTCTTGTCTTAATCATGTTTTTGTCTTTTTTGAGATTTTTCAATATTTTTATAAGCATCGTCAAAAATTTTATTCTTCATTTTATTTATTGCATGAAAGGTATCTGAAACTATTTTTTTGTTAGAGAAATCATCATTGCTAAGAGCGTTACTATCATTAAAGTCAATTAAATTGCAATCTATATCAATAGGAAGAACTGCTTCCCTTTGGTAAAGCAATGCAAACGGTGAAAACCCAGTAGATTTGTGCTTTCTAACTCTTAAAGAAAACAAAACACTATCAATAATGTATGGCCATTCCAAAGCAGCCTCATCAAGCACTTTTACTAATATACGTTTAATTGTTTGATTTTGTCTCTCTACTAATCCATTAGCTTGAGGATGATATGCACTTGTAATTCTTTGAATTGTTCCTGTTTTTGAGTAAAGTTCTTTAGAAATTTCATTTACAAACTCACGACCTTGGTCATTTATTTGAATTTCAAAACAGCCATGTCGACAAATCTGTTTATACAAAAAAAAAGCCACAGCTTTAGCAGTTTTATCGGTAAGTGCTTCTGCTTCAACCCATTTACTAAAGTAGTCTATTAATACAACCAGATATTTGCAACCGTTAACTTCTGGTAGCTGTGTTAAATCGATTCCTACCTGCTTCATATTGCCTTTAGGAATTGAAATATTTTGCAGCAATGGTTTCGACTGAAGTTTTCTGTTCTTTGACTTTATGCATTGGTCACATTTGGAAACATAAGTTGTAATATCTTTTATCATTCCATACCAGAAAAATCTACTTTGAATGTGATAGGTTGTGTTATTAATACCTGTATGACCAGATAAAGCTCATGAACAAACTTTATTATGTTTTGTTGTTCATCTCTTCTCCAAATAACTTTTCTCTATAAAAAAAAGAAGCTGTAAACCATCAATATAATGAGAATCAAAACTAAATTAATTTTCATTATTTATTAAATAAATTATTTGTAAATATTCGTGTTTATTTGGTGACTAGATTCTAGTTGCAAAATGGCAAAACTATTAAAACATTTTGAAATAATAGCATACCTTTGCTTTATTTAAATGATATAACTCATTATTATCAACTATAAATGGCTTAGTTTGTCTTCTAAAATTGGCTTTATTGCCTTTATTTAAGACTCCTTTTGGATATATTTGGTATTTTAAGTAACTAAAAATGTCTGCAAATCTAGAGTGCATGTTTTATTGATATGCAATTCCGCTAATTACAACTTGAGAGTAAAAATAAAATAGTGAGAGTAAAAATCGATATTTTTACTGGGGAGTAAAAAAAACACGGGAGTAAAAATCTCATACTACACTGGTCTTGAATATATAAATATATATATATATATATATATATATATATATATATATATATATATATATATATATATATATATATATATATATATATATATATATAATATACAAATAATATATAAATAAATATATACCAACTACTAATTATATTTTAGTTCAAAAAATAAAAATGTTTTTTTTTAAACAAAAAACTGTAAAAAAGAAAAAAAAACACATGGAACAAGCAAAACTTAATACAGCATTTTTTTTTTACTAATATCGCCGGATGCCAGAATTCTATTTAAAATAATAAATAGTAATAAAACTTCTCAATTTTATTTGCAATATTGAAGGTAAGTTTCTACATTTCATTTCTGCAGAAAATTTATTTTGCTTCAAAAGTTCATTTTAACTGCGTTCCCATTAAAAAAAAGTTTTTTATTGACAAAAACCGCCTACATTATTTTCCATATATTTTCCTATATTTAGTTTTCTTGTTTTTCACAAAATACACCGTACATTTAGATTAGCAATTTTGTTGAAAACTTGTTAGTTCATTTTAATCTCTGTATTTTCTATCGAGTATAAAAACTCAATTTGTTATTAACGTAAATAGATAGGGTTGCCAGACGTCCTGTTTTTACGAAGAAGAACAGTAAAAAAAGTTATTTTTACAGGTTTGGAGCAGTATTCTCCTCCGTAAAAGCCGGACGTCTGGCAACCCTATGAATAGACCATTATTGTTATAACGGTGTAAGATGTATAAAGTGGAGTTAAATCGCTTATAGCATTTTGAGATATAGAAGAAATATATAGATGAGGATGGTACTAAAAATTCTTACAAAATAAAACTGAAACCCATATGAAATTTTTATGAAACCCACAATGGAACCAATGAGTGGAGATATGTCACCGTCCTACACTCCTACCACACATACTCTTCATGCCGGCCTTGAACATATTTAGCCATTAATATTCATTCGTACTTAAAAGGACTTAAAAGAGGTAGAAGATTTTGAAAATTGTTTGACGTTAAAGGGCTTTTTCGTTCCCAGCCTTCAATCATTGCAAGCATCATTATTTGACATAAGTATAAACTTACAAATGTTTGAAGTTTGTTCCATGTCTGGAAGTTATCTCAAACACAAAAAAATCCTGAATCCGTCACTGATTGCAATGATAAAGTTTTTACGGTGATAAAAATATTTTAAAAACTAAATCATTTAACAATCGCAGGAGAACACCAGCAATAACAAACCATATGAAAAAAACAACGATAACAAGATGTATTAAAGTTAAAAAATAAAAATTATTTATATTAGTAACATCTGAATAACTTTTTTATGACTTACTTTGGCAAATAATTTCCAATTATAAGTAACTTTTTTATGTTAATTACTTATGTTAATTATTTTTATTTGTAAAAATAAATTACTTTTACTACGCACTTCTAAAATCAAAATTAAATTTAGATGCAATTTAGTTATTATTATTATTATTTTTTAATAATTTAATTTTAATTGTAAACATATTCAATGTTTTACAATTAAAAATGACTTTTTTACTTAAAGGAAGTAAAAGTTCTATCCCTATTTTAACCTGAGCCCATGATTTTGTTAAACCAAGTGTATTAGCTGTTTTAGGTTTAAAACTTTTTTTAGGATTAAAACAAATTTTGAGGGTAAAGAAAAAGACAGAATCCTAAAAGTTAATTGGATTTAAAACAGTTCCCTGCATGTGCTCCCTAACAGTCGAACGTTGCATGTACTTTCGATTTTGTAGGCGTCCGCGCTACTAAAACTTTTTGTAAACATCCGCGTTTACTGAATGTGCAAATCGACATTCCACTTTTCGAAACATTTTTTTTTTTCAAAAAAAATTCATTTAATCAAAAAGCTTTTTTTTTTTGAAACTAATTTATCTTACCGAAGTTCTTTATTTTTTTTTTCAAAAATTATTTACCTTTGTAAAGCTTATTTAACTTTTCAAAATTCAATTAATTTAGTATATATATATTTATATATATATATATATATATATATATATATATATATATATATATATATATATATATATATATATATATATATATATATATATATATTTTCGAAATTAAAATGAACTTTCAAAATTAAGTTTAAGTTTTTGAAACTATTTTAGCTATTCAATAGTTTTCGAAAGTTTTTACAAAATCCGAAAAAATCGAAAATATTCGAAAACTGTGTTTTCGAAAATGAACCATTTTTCAAAAAGTCATTTTTCTACATGTATACAAAGCATAAAACATATATATTTAGCTCGTATATATTTGAAATTCTCATTTCAATAAAATATGTTTTACGTAAGAAAAGCGATTTGCAAAACAGATTAAACGGATTGCACGTTTATGATGGTACTAAAGACGTTGCAACTTTTTTCTATACTACCCCAGGCAATATTAGCATAATTTAAATAACTATGTATAAATGAGGTATAAAGTTTGATTAATATTTTCTTTATTGAGGTAGATTTGTACTTTATACAAAATTCCTATGTTTTTTGAAATTTTAGTGCTTCTATAATCGATATGATAGTTCCAAGTGATGTATTCATCAAAATAAACACCTCAAAATTTGTTACGGAGTTGCGTTTTATATTTAGTTATTCAAACACTAAAAAACTTCGTTAAGTTTAATCTAGCTAATAAAATCAAGACTAAACCTTTAGACCCATTTTTAGCTTTACTTAGCAATATTTTTTAACAAATATTTTTGTTAAAGTTTGAAAACTGCTGCAACTTTAGTATTACGATTTTAAAATGTGAATATCCGAATTTTTTTTTTTTTATGTTATTTTAGGTGCTCCCAGAAGTCCTTACTGTCTTGTCACAGAGCGCCGTGGGAGAGCATTTAACAAGAAGTTCACGCGATTTTCCGCAATATATAATTACTTACGCAAAATCTAGAGATTTTTGCGTAAGTAATATGTGGATAGCCCCTTTTAAAATAAACTCTTTATCATATATACGCATTAGTACCGTATTATGCGACTTTGATTCGAGATGTTCCGAATAGGTATTTGCTGATTTCCTCAACTTTAGTTTTTTCTAGTTTTGAAAACTGAATTACTATGCTGATTATAATTGTATTTGTAATAGTTTATATTACGTCTTCATAAAAAATGTGATAATATTTATATGACGTGTTTGTAAGTCAATAAAATATATTATATGCCTACTTTTAATATAAATATGGAAAAGTTATAATAAAATCAGATTAAAATGGAAACTGAACGAGAAATTTTTATTTTCTTTCTTTTTCCCGAAAAGAAAGCTGTCTCCAACAAAAATGTTGAGATTTAAAAGTTAAATATAGCAGCCAACAACACAAACTAAAATAAAACTTATTTTTCACTGCGGCAAGAGAATTTTGACAAACATACGTGTATAAAGAGCAGATTTGTAATCGCAAAGCAGAAATAAAAACAATACATATTATAAGTTAGGATTTTTCGTTATTTTTACTTGTCATTTCAATCTTTATTTTTAAAGAGTTCAATTCTTGTTTTCTTCTACAAAAAATTTAACGTAATCTTTGGTGTATTATTTTTGTTGCTTTCAAAAGTACAAAACGTTTTCCGAGAAAATAAAGCACTTTAAAACTTATTTTTAATTTTCAAAAACATTTTAACGTAATTTATTCGCAACGTAACGTAATTTATTCAACCTTTTGATGATGTACAGTAGCAGCATTCCATCTATCGTAAATTGCCAAACACATCTCTACTATATAAGATCCACAAATAATCCAAAAGACAATCAAAAACAAGAATACCGTCGAAAAAATAAGAAAATAATCAGGAGATTCCTTGACTATTGAAGATAAAGGGCCTTTAAAATCTTCTTCCGTAATATTAATAATGGAAATTGGATCAAACCCAGTGTTATCTTTAACAAAATAATGCATGTGTTGAGCAGTGCGAGAACCATTAAATTTACCCATTGCTTTTCCACTGTAAAATAAGATGATCGTTGGAATACCAACAATGCCATATCTAGCAGACATACCGATAGTACTTTGAGCATCAAGTGCAATTACTGGCATTAGTGGATAAGATCTGCCTACCGCGTTATACAGAGGTGCAATGCGAGCACTAAACTCACAGTACGGACTGTAAAATAAAACAAGAGAACAACCTTTTGTTTCATTCATTTGTGTTAAAATATCTGTCATTGCTGCATCACTGTTTATCATAATAACAGAGGAGTTATCTGTAGATGTTAAGTTAAATGGTTTGCAAGGGTATCGATGAGAATCTCCACTGTTTTTTGGGGCAGAAGTCATTTCTACTAGCATCTTATCAATTTTATATTTTAAAGTTAAAAAATGAGGTGCTGAAAGAGAGATTTCTTCATTGAGAGTTTTAAAATCAACAAACCTGTATTTGTCAAACACAGCTTTTGCTTTCATAAAATCATCGTATGGAACATTTTTAATGTCACTTTTTAACGCATTGTAACCGTCACTACCAAGCAACTTTATAAACTCGCGTTCGATCTCTTCAAACGAAGGATTATGGCGTAACTTCCCTAACATCTCAAATAATCTTAAATGCATATCGTTAATTTCACTTTTTCCATTATTCCTTTCATCAAAAACTTTTTCTAAACGCTCTTTAGTGCTTATTAAATCTTCAATATCTGTTTTGTTTTTTATTATATCTTCCTCTAACTTTTGCTTGTTTGTAACATCTCCTTCTATATCTTCTAGTTCCATATACCGTTTAATTATTTCAAATTCTATTTTGTTTATTGACTCAATAATCATTTTACCATCCATTAAAGTTTCATTAGTTTTGTTACTTACAACGTCACCTTCGACTTTAAAATTTCTTTCATCAAGATTCTGACCACTTTTCTTGTCGTGATTCAAATCGCTCCCCCCATCATGCTGCATATCACTCCCTCCATTACGCTTTATTTCACTATCTTCGTCACGCTTAAGATCACTATCCTCATCACGCTTCAGCTCTACAACGTTATTACTGATAACATTTTTTTCAAAAACCATGATGGTATATACTACAAAAACTATTTTAAAAAACATACAACGAACCATCTTCAGGTTTAATGTAACCAACACCAATTAAAACAATATCAATTAGAGTCCAAACACCAAGGCCACCGAAACTAAAAAGTTTACCGAGCCCTTCTTTCCAATAACCAAGGTAAAATCGATCTACGCCAAAACCACCTAGTGTCACGCTAAAAAGAAACCAAATTAAATTAAATATAGCAACATAAAATAAAACACACACAAATAAAAAACTTATAACATTTCGATCCTATTTAAGCCTATTTAATAGGCTGGCTGAATAAAAAAAAATCCAATTGCTTTGATTCAATAATTGGTCAGCTTTACGTGAAAAAAAACTTAGGCAATTTTGCTTAAATTTTTATTTACGTAAAGCTGAGCAATTGCTCAGCGTTTTTGGAGTAAATTGCTTAACTTTACGTGAATAAAAATTTGAGGAAAATCGCTCAAATTTTTATTTACGTAAAGCTGAACAATTACTCTAAAAACGCTGAGTAAAGGCAATTGGTTTTTTTTATTCACCCGGCCTAATGTCTAATTTGTGTTGTGCTTATGGTTGCTCCTCTATTAAAAATAAAAAATAAAAAAAAAATAAACAATATATAGATTTTCTTTTAAATCGTGAAATAAAATCGTGACTTAAGAATTTAAATACTTCCAAACATAATTTGTGTTTGTAAATTATGAGCGATTTTGTGCTTAGCACTAGCCACATAATGCCGAATTACAAACAGTCTAACTAGAGTAATTTTGTTTCAATCAATTTTTCATAAATCTTTAATAATATATCAGTGACTTGTATCCCAAAAGTGACCAGAAACGAGTGTCATAGAGTTATTGTGCTCTGAAAAATATAGTTTACCTAAATGAGTTCGTAAATTTAGAAAAAATTTACAAATTAAACAGTTGTTAAATACAGAAAATATTAAACATTTTTAACCGGAAAATCCAATTAGTTATATTATTAATGATAAAACAGATTATAAGTTATATTAGGCATCAAGAAGGTTTAGTAAAAAAAAAAAAATTTATTGTAAACCTTTCAGATACATTGCATCTTTATTCAAAACTTCAATTATATCAATACTCGTAAAGAAGTTTCCCAAGTGTTTATCAGTTAAAATATACGACAAGCAAAGTGAATAAACATGAAGATATTGTATATTTAAAGATGGGATTTAATGAATATTAAAAATTTCAAAAGATAAAGATGGTGCTTTAATAAAAATACTCATCTTGAGCAGATATCAAATCCATCCGGATACTGTTTTGGAGAAAGTCTCATAGTCAAAGACTTATGGGGTAAATAGTTGAATCTGTCAAATATGTTGAACAGCTTTGCACACTTTATCTATTAGGCAGAATAGATAAAGAAATCTATTAATTTCTTTCCAAAAAATCTTACTTCTAGGATTAACTCTTACTTCCAATCTTTCTTGAAAACCATATATCAAATCAATTGCAAAATTAGCACCTGCTAAGATTGTATCTCTTTATTGTACTTGCCACATTCTTACTCCGGATTCTATTCTTTATCTCTATAAATCTCAAATCCACCCTTGTATGAAATACTGTTGCCATATTTGGAGCCGATCTTCAAATAGTGTCCTTTTAGACAAGGTGCAAAAATGCATTGTAAACATAGTTAGGCCATAGAGTTAAAAAGCAAGGAAAAGGCTGACAGAAGAACTGAAAAGTTGTAGGTTGTATGAGTCAGGAAAACATGATGATGGGAGAGAGTTCCGAAGGGTTAAAGTACGGGGAAAACAATTAGATGAATAAAAGTTTTAAGAGCATGCAGGGACAGATACAATAAAAGAAAGAGGCTTGCTGACAAGAATAACAAGTCAAGCGAGAATGAGTTTTGGATGATGGAAATAGAGATGATAGCTTTTTGAGCAGAGACAATGATAGTATTACAAATGTAAATTTAAGACAATTAGAGAGAGGGTCAAGCTTGGTACACAGAGCTTGGTACACAGAGGTCCAACAACATTTATTATTAGCAATTTACTACGTTTATTATTAGTAAATATTAGCAATTCTGTTAAATTAACTTTTACTGAGGCCTAATAATTTTCAGAGTGCTTTACGCACGTTTTAAATAAAAAGATAATTACAGTTAACTTAATTATTACAAGAATTATATAAAAATATTTTTAATCATTAAGTATTATTTAAAAAATTATGTACATTAAATGTTACATTTACTATGGATTTTTTTAAACATTAGTGACATTGAAGTTTAAAAATAACTTTTATTAGTAGTACTTTTACAACTTTTATAAGTTGAAAAGAATATGAAAAGTAACAAAACTTAAATTTGAATTACGTATTTTATTTTGTTTCTGTTACACATTTTTAATTGGTTCTTTTAAAAACAATCAGAATTGTTTTTGATTGAATAAATAATTATTTATTCAAAAAATAAATATTTATTAAATTAGGCAAAATCTCAGTTATCCAGGCCAGTCAGTTTCATGTAAACGAGATTAATTTTTATAGGTAAATATTAAACATACGAAGATTTTGTTTAAATGACCCAGCCCGATTAACAAGACTAGTCTGCCTTATATAAATAGCCCCTTAATGAATATTTAAAATCCCTCTATCTTTTGTAAAAACAATTTTTTCAAACATTCGATTGTCCTTAAACTTAGCTTTGCAATAAGTGTTAACTTCTTTTTTTAAATCTAATGTTCGGTTAGTAACCCAATAACAGTTTTAAACAATAAATGAGTAACAACACATAATTACATTTTAATTTACTTTATTGTTCTGAAGAAAAAAATAACTAACTAAAATAAACTGAAAACTAGTTACAAATGCATTTGAAACCGAAGCTTTTTCCCCTTTTTTTTTATAAAAAAAGCAAAAGAAAAATAAAATAATAAAAAATATTTTATGGGTGCTTTTATTAGGGCGCCCATACCACTCTAGCAGTACCAAAAAAGACCTGGGTTTGTCCTTGGACATTGTTTAACTTGTTTAGGCCATAAAAACTCTTCAAGAATTTGTAAATTTGAATCATCTGTGAGCAAAAGATAGAAAATAGGATAATTAAACCACAAGATATTCTACACCACACCATTACTTTATTCTTTGAGTTGGGCACAGGTATTTGTTTGCACTGTTTAGAATAGGTCCAACAATTATGCAACAATTATGATGGTATATAATACTATTTAGCATACATTGGATCTTGTCTGACTAAATAATCTTGTTTAGCAAGTTAGAACTTTTTTTAAAGTTTGACAACATGATATCACAAAACACCATTCTTTTGTCAAAATCATTTTCACTTAGCTCTTTTATATACTTGTTTGAAAGCTTACTTCTTAATCAGCATTATAATAATTGCTTGTGCTCATCCCCATTTTAATAGTGTTCTTTTGAATTGACAAATGTAGGTTTATTCTAACCTTTTTCTAATGTTTTAAATGGCTTCCTCTGGTCGTGAACACTGAATGTCTCCCTAAATTTGTCAATCAAATTTTGAATCATTTTCTCATGTATGTGTGTAGATGCGGTAGTGGTGTAGTGGTAGAGCGTTCACTTCATAAGTGAGAGGTTCCAAGTTTGATCCCCACCATGTCCCTGGTAGTACCGTGCTCTACTTGTTTCTCCGCGCAGCGGCCTTGTTCGTCAAGGTTCGTGTTTAAAAGTTGTAGAGTTGAGAGACGGTTATAACCACAATTGAGTAGGCTCCTCATCTGTAGTGGCCTTCTTGGCCTTGGGGAGGTGAATTAACAAATAAAAAAGTGGTGTTGGGGTGGTAAAACAATTTTTCCATTACCTTCTAACCTCTTTTTCTAACCTCTTGAACATTTTTAAATTTTGCAATAAAAAAAAAAAACCGATTTGAATTCTCTTTGATCAAAAGTCTATTTTAAGTCTTATTTAAGTATATTTAAACTTATAATCATAATAATTATAAGTTTATATATTTAAAAATTTTAATAAATATATTATGATAATTAAAGCAGTTTTAAATTAAATACTCAAAGACAACTTATAAAACACTCTGTATAAACCTTTTAAAAACAAACTTTGATCTAGGGTAAGTATTTACCATTATGATTATTTGTCATAATTATTTATCACGCTGATTAACAAAAATGAAATTTTTTAGCAATCATAGAAAAACTATCAGATGATATGTGCTCTAAGGCGTCCTTTTATATAATAAAATACCCTTCTTATTTTTTTATTTTTGACATTTTTCTCTAATCCCAGGACCTTATATATATACACATATATATATATATAAACATATATATATATATATATAAACATATATATATATATATATATATATATATATATATATATATATATATATATATATATATATATATATATATATATATATACATATATATATAATATTTATATTTATATTTATAAGTATATTTAAACTTATAATAATATATATTGCTGTATATATATATATATATATATATATATATATATATATATATATATATATATATATATATATATATATACAGCAATAGTTTCACTTACTAAAATTTTCCCATGTTTATGTGAAAAATATATACTTTTTTGTACATATTAATGTTTTGCCTCCATAAGTATGTTTTTTTGCAAAAAATAAAAAAGTATCCATAAATAACTTTTAGGAAAAGTGAAAATTATATGCATCGACTAATAAATAAGTAGAACATCCATGAAAGCACTGCTACAACCCTTAGAAATAAAACAATATTTAAACCAAAGGTTTAAATATTGTTTTATTTTTTTAAATAATCGTTTTTTGTAAATTTTGGAAAATATGATAGTATAACTAATTAATATTGATAAATAATAGTATTGAAGTAAATAATAATCAACTGAAACTAAAACAAGATAAAAGTAGTAGATAAATTTCAAATATAATATAATATGTATTTATTAAATATATAATATATAATCAGGGTGTTACCTAGGAAAAAATTTCATACAGCGTTTTTGCGAAATTGGGAATTTAGATGCGGCTAAAAAAAAAAAAAAAGGTCCTTACATTCTGCAATTAAATTTTAATCAAAATAAATTTTCTGTTTTTGCTGGGAGTTACATTTACAGCAGGAATATTTTTCTACTTTATATATATTTTATTTTAATTAATCAACTTGTTTCATTATGAGCAATCTTCTAAAGTTTTCATTTAACTCGCTTCTTCTCTTTGTTTTTGATATACTGCAGCAATTTTTCAAAACGCCTTAATTACGTATTTCGAGAAAAGCGCAATTAAAAAAAAAATCTCAACTCGAGAATAAGTGATCTCAGTTAAAATTTTTAAAAAAAGTTTTTTTTAAACTTTTGAATGAATGATCTTGTTAAGGTTAAGACGCTTGTTAATGACGACACGTTTTTACACATAAAAAAAAAAAATCAATCAACTTAATTCATTTTTTGTCATGCATACTAATTTTTACTAGTCTAGCGCGACACTTCAAATCTGAGACTGACTTAATTTTTTTTTTTTTACTATGATCTTATAAACCTTTGGGAATTTTAAACCAATTGGGAATACCGCGTTATACGTGGTGCCATCAGGCTGGGTGACACCCTGATATTATGTATTTATTAAATATATAATATATAATATGTATTTATTAAATATATAATATATAATATGAATTTATTAATATATAATATATATATATTAAATATATAATATATAATATGAATTTATTAATATATAATATATATATATATTAAATTTATATATATATTATATATTTATTAATATATAATATATATATATATTAAATATAAAAGATGAATTTATGATTAAGATCATTCTAATAAACAAAAATAATCCAATTAGGTCACTGTAATGTACATTAACTCATTAAATATAACCATTTCTTTTTTGGGTAATATAGTTTGTTATAACTTATAAAAATCTTACCTTAATGCAAAAGCAGTAGACCAGTGATAACCTGATTTCCAATTGCACTTTACAGATTTTAAAAAACTACGACTACCTAATGAATGAAAATTACAATTTTTATTAATGAAAATACTACTTAATGAAAACGCTTTTTTCTTTAACATTTTTAAATAAAATAAAAAAATCAAATCTAGTTGAAAGGTTACTTGCCAAGACAATGCTGATAATCACTAATGAAACACTTGACAACAACAGGTTTTGGTAAAGTACTCTATATTAAAACAATATTGAAAAAAAAATTACAAAAGTTAATTATTGTTAAATGAAAATACAAAAAATTTAAAAAATAGTTTTGAACCAACTTGTTTATATATTGCTCATAACCATGGGGAAACACATAAGATTACTGCTCATAACCATGAGGAAACACATAAGATTACTACTCATAACCATGAGAAAATACATAAGATTATTGCTTATAACAATTAGAAAACACATAAGATGACTGCTCATAACCATGAGGAAGCACATAAGATTACTATTCATAACCATGAGAAAATACATAAGATTACAGCTCATAACCATGATGAAACACATAAGATTATTGCTTATAACAATTAGAAAACACATAAGATTATTACTTATAACAATTAGAAGGCACATAAGATTACTACTCATAACCATGAGGAAGCACATAAGATTACTGCTCATAATAATGAGGAAGCACATAAGATAGTTAATTATGTCCTTATAGATTATGATAAGAAACATTTAAAGTCTATCTAACATCATGACTTCTTTTTTTGTCTTGTTAGAGTCTCAGGCACACATTCATTTGATCACCGTCATTTTCCAGACCTAAGCTGTTACAAGAGAGATCAGATTAAAGATGGGATGCTTGTTTAATGCAATCAAAAAGTGAAGGTTTTTTATCAAGACAAGAGTATACAGCAAGCCTTATTAAAAAGGGTAACAAATTTTACATACAAAATAATGATATCACCTACGCATTAAGCCATTTATGTTACTCTAAAACGTTTTTCAATTAGATTATTTAAACATTATTTTTTTAAATAGTTTATGTGGAAAACATTAAGCAGTAATTAATTGTTGTTAAAAACATTTTCACTGCAATTGTGAAATAGTTTTTTTTTAGATAAAAAAAAACAACAGATAGTTAAACAATTTTTTCTTTTAAAAAATTTACCTTAATTTATATTTACTTTAACTTATTTTATTATACTTAAATTTAATTTATTGTTAAATAATTATAAATTTAAACTCATTCTATTACATTTTTTTTCCCTGCTAAAAATTCCAAACTATGTTAAATTTAATTCAAGTTACATTAAAATGTTCATTTTGTTTAATTACTTATAGATTCAAATAAATAATTTTTTTTTATCTTGTTACGAAAATGCTAATATACAAAAATGCTTAGTGCAATTATAAATCTATGTTAATGCATATCCAGATAAACCATAATCAAGCCTGCATGTAAAATAATTTTGGAGAATCTTTTAAATAAACTTTATATAACAAATTTAAAAAATATGATTTTTTTAGATTTGATATTGCCTTTTAACAAAAGATTTTTCTTAATCATTAATTTTTTAGATTGGTCATAGAATGAACATCAATTAGAAATGATTAACAAGTTTATGGGTAGTATGCGAAAAATTTTTAAAAGCCAAAATGTTAAAAAAAAAGCTGATTAATTAAGAAATTCAACTATAAACAAATGACTTTTAATGGGGCTTCAAATTATATCTAAAATATATAATTATATTTTACACAACATTAGTTGCATAGTTTAAACATATTATATTTTTATAAAATCATTTTTATAAAACAGAAATTATTAAGATTTTAAAAGTTAGAATAAGGATCTAAAAAATCAAAAAAATAAGTGAAATAAAAAAAGAATTTGATATAAGCTGTTAACTGGCTTGATTAAACCACATTTAAAAACTTTCTAACAACTCTTTATAAAGTAATTATGAACAATACCATGCTCTTCATAATATGAATAGATATTAATGTCAATATTTTTATAACAAATCTTAAACTGAATATAAAAAGAAACATACATTAAGGTCTTTTTAATAGCATTTTAATTGCTATATTCCTTGCTTTAATTCTGTTATATTATTTAATTGCTTTATTTTAACTGGGTTTTTAATATTTTTAATATTTTTTATATTTAATATTTTTAATGATTTAAAGATTTCACTTTTCTTCTTTTTTTTTTTCCACAATTTAGGAAAGAATTGATAAGTCAAAATCTTTGTAAAAATTTCAAGTATTCAATATTATTTTCCAAGACTTATTTGTAGAATAATTTGGAGAATTTTTAAAAAAGCCTATAATTTCTAAAAATATCAAAACACTGGGAGAAATTTGTTGCATAATATCATGATTGAGATATTTAATTTATTAATGTACCCAGGTAATAAGTCCTAATAAGCTGTGGATGGTCTGAAAAAACAGAAATAAGATAAAATTCAACTAGCAACTTTGTCAATATGGCCTGATATAAAACTATCAAGTTTTCGATAAATTAAATCGCTTAGATGTATGCTTATTTAGATGATAATTAATTTCATTATAATAACTTTTATTTTCATTACAATATCTTCATATATTTTATAACTGTTTCAAGTCATCAAAAAAGAAGATTCAATGATAGACATATTGTTATGGAAATAAGTACTTTTTTTGAACTTTTATTTATCTTTATATATTTTATATCATTATTATTTTAGATATTTCAGAGTTTTACTTATTGAAATTGAAACATCTTGATTCATCTGTGCTTGTTGCAAGAAAATTTTAAAAGATTGTTATGAAGTCAAAAATGTATAAGAAGGAGTTTCTTGTCACTCTTATTAATTACAGCATTTTTAATTCAGCATCAAGGTATGTTTATATTAATTATAAACACACAACACTAACGGTTTTTTTAAAAACAAAAGAGATTTAAAAAAACTTTGTTAAAATTTTAAAATATGTGCGCGCCACTAAGAAAAAAAAAAAAAAGCCACTAAACCAAAAAGATATTATACCAAATTAATAATTTCTCTTCCAGGCCTCCCACTCCTAAAATAGGGTAAAATTTTATGATTTTGGGACAATTTTTCCAAGTTTTTTATGACTTTTTAGGACAAATTAGTGTTAAATTTAGGACATTTTAGGACAATTAAAAGTTAGGAATGAGTTTTTGTATTTAATTTTTTAAATTTAAGTTTGGGAATTAACCCTTTAAATTCAATTATTATTAATATATTATTTACCCTTTGATACCCTTGGAAATTATTTACGTTTATATAAAGTAGATAATAAACAAAATATAATTTAAACAAAAAAATCTTTAACTTTACAACAACAACTCTTACATGTAAAACCTGCAAGTAATAACTTATATCTAAAATACTAAACAAAGTTAAATATACAATAGAATCCTGTTAACTCTGACCCTGGATAACTCGGACATAACAAAACATTTTCACATATTTTTTTGTTAAGTAATCATTTTTGTTAATTTTGTTATATTGATACACCTGTTGATCTTTACAAGTCAGACTATATATCAATTTCCCTTTAAAGTCTGACTTAAAAGGATTCTACAGTATTTTTACAATTTGTGATATATTATAAAGGACGTAATAGAAACAAAGTATTAAATGTTAATAGATTTTTTTAAGTTAATTATCTGAAAAAACTGTTTTATTCAAAAATAAAATTCTAAATAAAATAATAATTCTTTTAGAGTTATAATACAACTAAGTTAAAATAGAGTTTAAAAGCAAAATAGTTAGAGTTGCAATATAAACAATATAATTCTAAATTGACTAAATTGACAGTTCTTTACTCCTTTTTTCTAAAATGTCTTGTTCATCAGCAAGCTCCTGTCTTCTTTTCATCCCTGTTTTAATTTTACACTGGGCTCGCTGCAATTCTTTTCTTATGCTGTTTTTTTGAAGCAAACATTTCTTTAAATCACTATTTCCTTCAAAAACTAAATCATCAGCAACTGATAGACCGTTTTTTATCTGCAAAAAAACAAACTTTTACTTCATGCAATAATTAAAAAAATGAAAATTAAGTACAAATCACATTACCAAAACAATTTTCATGAAGTTTAGTATAACATACCTGTTGAATGGATGCAAGAACAGCTTCTTTTTCATTTTTCAAAACATGTTGTTTTGCCTCCTCAGTTTCCTTAGTTTTTATATGCTTCTCTTCCTTCTCTTTCAACCTGCGTTTAGCTTCCAGGTCAGCTTTGTAACTTGAGTGAGCAAATTTAACTGATTGAATAAATGACTTTGTTATTGGAATATCGAGTATGGATCCAAAGTTTAATATAGTATCTTTTACAAACCTCAAAGCCTCAATTGTCTCTTGATCAAGTAAAGTACCATGTAACTGAATAATGTGTTTGTTAATTGAAAATCTATTCTCTGGGGGACTATTTCCATGTGAAAGTGAAGAAACAACTTTGAAAAGAGATGTAATATTGGGAAACTTAGGTGAACCACTATCATTCAAAACTTTAGTCTCAAAGGAATTGATTAGTGTATCAATATCAAAACTACATAAAAGTTTTGAAACTATAGGAAGACCCGCAAGCTGAAAGGCTTTTTCCCAGTAAGAAGTTTGATTTCTCCCAATTGAAACTAATTCTTCCAAACATTTATAATAGCACTCTGGAAGCAATTCCATTTGGTAAATTCGCCATTCGCTTCGTAAAATATCACAAACCTCTTCCTTTGATGAACAAGATGGAAAAACTTTACATAAGACTACTTCCAGTGATTTGCATACTTCTAGAGTGAGATTTGAGACAGCTGCTAGAGACTCGTTACTACCCTTTTTTAAAGGATCAAGAAAGATTGCATTTTTTTAAACAGTTGATTCCCAAGGTAATTTTAATTTTAAATAACTAGTAAATGCTTGATAAGACTCAAGACAATTTTGCAATTTCTTTTCGCCACATGAGATTTCTAGAGCTTCTGAAAAATAAGATTTGGCTTTTGTGCCAATATTAATTAACTTTAGTGGTTTACAATTTTTTGAGTCAATCACATCAATCATCAGCAGCTCATTAATAGATTTTATGGAATTGCTGCCATTATTATTAACATACAGAAGCTTAGTTTTGATAAACTTGGACATTAATGCAATCAAAAAGTTTTGACATTTCAGAGTAAATCAGGTGAATTCTTGGTTTAATTGATTGAAATGTTTTTAAAAATATTTTAAAGTCATTTCCTATGAAAGCAATAAAAGAAATATACGGCATCGATATTTCATTTTGCAAAATATCTGTAATCCTCTTATATCTTTCAGTATCTCTAACAGTTGATTTAAAAGATGTAGTTGTTGGAATAAATTTTATAAAATATTCACAAAGATTCTTGTGTTGTTCTAAAATCTGAGAACATATTCTTCTGAGTGTAACCCATCATGTTAAAAATGTCTTTGAATAAAGTGTGAAATAATTTCTGTTAGATCTTCTATTTGTCGATAGTCAGATCTTCTTGCAGCAGAATGTTTAAAGAAAAAGTTAACATCAATTGCAAATGAATCAATGTTGAAATTTAAAACATTAACTCTTGCTCTAAATGCATTATGAACTATATGAAGAGGGCATGTGCCTATTGATATAATGTTTTTATTCAAATTCTCTGACGACTTTAAAAGTCTCTCAAACCTAATATTCACATAAGGACCATCCATACCAATATGGAACATAAACTTTATGTTAAGCTTAACTTTTTCTACAAGCTCGAGGAAATGTTCTAACAATTTTTCACAGTTCCACAGTATGCAATTTTAATGCACTTGTGCTTTCTAGACCAATATTGTACATAACCATCATACTGTTTATTAACTTGTTGATTAGTAGATTCGCCAAATTTAAATGTAAAAACAGTATCATTTAAATCCTCAAATAACAACGTTTTTAAATATGGAAAGATGCCGTACTGAATGGTGTATTTAGAGTTTGTTTCACTTTGTCTGTATCCTTTAGCAATTTTTGAATCTGGAAACATTGCTTCAAACATTTTACTATCTCCATTGGTTGAGGCAAAAGAATAGTTAGGCTCAACACATTTTAAACTATGAATGATTTCAGCTTTTAAAATCTCTTTCTCAATGGTGTAACTAATCTTAGAAGCTTTTGATTCAAGTATTTTATCTTTATTTTTGCTAAATTCTAATTTTACTAAGATTGTCCGTCTCTTTCTTTAAACCTTGATGTGTGAAGTTTGCTAATTGCATGGCTTCTTACTTGTCCAGCTCCACTTCCACTGATTGAAAAGGTTTTCTGGCACA